ACCAGCTACAGTAACTGACATTTACAACACCCAGATTGCTAACTGCTCCTTTGGTCCCGGAGTCCCCAAAGACAGTCGCCAACCAAGGCAGCCATCCCGTGATCTAGAATAATGTGTCCTTCTGTGTGTTTAGAAATCCCTGGTAATATGTTGTCAAGCAACGAAAATGTTTTAGGGTCATTCCAACCATTCATTTTTGTCTAGAGAAGAGTAGAGTTGTTGTTTGTTTTTTTAAAAAAAAGAAAAAGAAAGAAAAAGAAAGAAAGAAAGAAAGAAAGAAAGAAAGAAAGAAAGAAAGAAAGAAAGAAAGAAAGAAAGAAAGAAAGAAAAAGAAAAAACCACAATATGGGTTTGAAGGTCAATGAAAATGACAAAAAGGAAGCGTGCACATTCGTTTTGCATATTCCCAGATCATATTCTAGTAATTTAAGACTTGAGATAAGCAAACTTCTGAGAAATCCTCTGGTTATCATCAGAATGTCAGTATCTTCAAGTTTCAATAGTGATATGCAGTTTTAAGGAAGGATGTGGGGCAGGGAGGGGATAGTTGACTTCTGTTTGATGTCAATATTAAAAGTACTGGTTCCTGTTCCCAAAACGTTCTTCTTTACTTCTTGTGTAGGATGAAGAAGGAAGTAGGGGCAAGGTTTGGGACATCTTGCAAATATCTTAAAACATTAATAATTAATATTGAGGGTAAAAAGTCCAAATGTATTTTATTGGATTGCCTATATTTGGGGGAAAAAAACCCCACCAAATCAAACAATCTTGATGTACATCTTTAATGTTAAAAAAAAAATGAGAAACATAAAGTAATTATATCCCATCTTAACCCTCTTTTGACCCACCTATCCTATTACTCTTCTTTCCTTTATAGAAAAGACTTTACAAGAGTTGATTTTTTACTGTCTGATTTCTCTTCTTCCTTTCTCTTTTAAACCCACTGAAGTAAGATAATTTTATTATCACCATCCAACCTACATTTATTTATTGTCACTTGCTACTCAAAGTGGAGTCAATGAACCAACAGCATGAGCATCAGCTTGTTAGAAATGCAGAACCCCAAGCTTTTCCCAGACCTACTGAATCAGCATCTGCATGTTAACAGGATCTTCAAGTGATTCACATGTACAGTAAAGTTTGGAAAGCACTGGGCTAGCTCCTAAGTCCCATGGTAATGGAGGCTTGTTTTCATTTATTATGTAACATCAGAAAGCTGAGGCACTCAAGATATATTGAACGAATGAGTGAACAAATGTACTATGCACCTGTATCAAATGGGACTACAAGTTGATGATGCGTACAAGGTTGGAGAAAGACATCCTAGGTCAAAATTATCTACCCTATATATTGTGCTAAGTTAAAGATTCACTAGTATCAGCAACTCCTTCTTTCAAAATGCAAATATATTCCCCACATAAAGCAGTCATTCACAATTTACTGTAGATTATTTGAATGAGATAATTATTCTAACATCTAACAGAGTCAGCCTAACTAAGGAAGTAGGAGTGAAAGAAGGCTGAAAATTTAATAAACGCCTACCCTATGCTGGGCATTGTAACAGGCAAGAGGGAAACAAGGATAAATCAGGACCTTATGACTCAGTAGGAGAAGCAGAGGACCCTTCAGGGGAGAGACAAGAGGGTAGAGTACTCTGTGGGGAGGGTCTGGGGGAGCCCCAGGACAGGAAGAGTTCAGGGTACTCCTTCCTTCAGCATCCTGTGCTCTGGCCACAAAGAACTTTTTACTTTTTTTCTTCTGCCTGAAATGTTACCATCAACTCCGCCAACATCTACTCATCCTTGAAAGCCCCCCTCTCTTCGAGAATTAACTGTTCTCTCGTTTTATTAGCTCTGATCACACATATCAGAGTTCAAGGGCAAGTACCACCATTTTCATGAGGGGCTTCTACAAACTGCCTTACCCTTATTCACCTCCGTATCCCTGTCCCAGCATGGCACATGGACACAGTAAATGTTCAGTCAATTTCTGCCATTTCATAGAACAACTAGAATTTATTGACTATGTACCGAGAATGCAGTTGATACGTACCAAGCACTTTAGATGTATTAACTCATTTAATCCTCACAACGATCCAATTAGATTGGAGCTATTATTATCCTCATTTTATAGATCAGAGAACTGAGGCCCAGAAAGGCAAGGCCACATAAAGGAATGAGTTCTGTACCTGTACCTATGGGCAGACTGTAAATGTTTCC